ATTTAAAATTTTTTATAATTAGAATCTCTCTCAAAATGATCACGAATTACGTATAATTGCTGATATGCCAACAAGATAGAACTCATCTTACCTTGCTTGGTAACGGTTAATTAAAATTCAAAACATAATTGACTTTATTATTACTATGCTTTCTTTGGAAGAAGATTATCAAACATGAAAAGAAGGTGCCAAATTAAAAAAAATTAATCTTACAGAGTCCGAATGAAAAGCTATAAAAAGTCTTGTTATAGTTTTCGAACCGTTTGCAGAAGTGACTAACCTTTTAGGGGGTAGTAAATATACAATGATAAGTTTTATGTATAGCGCGATTAATGCGATTACTAATAGTCTTATATTTACTGAGAATTTGGAATTACGGGAAGTAAATTATAAAGATGATGAAAATGTTTTTAATGATGCTATTTTAAACGAAGATCAAGCAGATAACATTGAGTCGATAAACTTTCAAAAACAGCTCAATATTCCTCAGAACTGTACAAATTTTGAGGAAAGGGTAAAAATGGCTTTATATAATGTCATGAGCTATTATTGGCAAGTACCATCTGATGAAGGAATATTAGCAGCATTACTTGATCCTCGATTAAAATGTTAAGTTTTACTTCAGAATCCTCAAGATCCAGAACCTATAACCTGTTACGTGAAATATATAAGCAACATCAAGATCAAACAAATACACTACCTATTAAACAACCCTTACCATCTACAAGCAAACTATTAGCCTCTATGTATCGGTCAAGTAATGCTCAAATGGATGAAATCTCTGACTATATTGGAATGCCAGAAATTTCTTATGATCAATGTCCATTTGAATGATGGAAAAGTAACCAAAGTCGTTTTCCAGTTTTAGCTTATTTGGCACAAAAATATCTAGCTATTTTAGCTACTTCAACTCCTAGCGAAAGGCTATTTAGTGATGCTGGAAATATAATGTCTGTTAAAAGAACAAATCTTTTACCTATCACATTCGAGCATTTAATTTTTTTAAAAAGGAATCATCATAGTGTTGATAGTATTTTTCCAAATATGAAGAATAAGGAGTAAATAATTTTTATAAAAAATATTTTATATAGATTAAATAGTTTATTTTCTATCGTTATATATAAATAGGGCAATTATCAATTTTTTTTTTTTTAAATATATATTATCAATAAAATATATACTGATAACCTTTTTTTTATAATCATGTGTGCATGCATAACTAAATTAGTGATAAGAATTAGTAATATGTTCACAACGATAAAAATATAATTAAATAAGATAGATAGTATATATAATACAAATATAGGGTTACCGTATCGAAACTAGAATATCACTTAACTATTTCAACTTTCGTACTATATGGTTTTAAGCCTGAAAGGTTAAAAAAGGAGTGTTAGATTTGACTGGTTTATCAACAAAGGGCTAAGCCAACATTACTGCAAGATCAATAAATTAATCATTAGAATAATCCGCCTATCCATCATCCATCTAAGACAAGATTAAATGGCATTATGGCTCAGAAAATAACTTTTGCACTTTAGTTACCGAGTTCTAACTCTAAGCTGTAGGCATAAAATGATTTCGCATTCAAGGAGGATGAGTATTTGCTTATCAAATAAAAGCGATACGATTTGAGAAAATGTAGGAGGCTTTGGGCTCTCGTTTGGCAACTTACGTATAGCAATTAGACTACTTAATTTCTTATATGCTTGAGATCTGTATGCAGATAACCTTAATTTAAATAATACAGGTTTACTCTTGGATCGTATTATGCAGTGTAATAAAGGTTACTATATTTATAGTATACGGGTGCACTTTTTTATATGTACGTTGTAAACGGGTAAATTAACCACCCCGGAAGTGCTGCGGTCCTTAACATAGTACGAATTCTGGAAATTCTAAAAATTATGAAAATCCCAAGAATTCGTAGAATTCTTACGTAGTATTAGCATGATCGCCGGAATTCTTGAAATAGATATTAGTATGTTAATTGCTATAATTATCCGTATTCCTAGTATGGTGGTAATAACTGATAATGAGAATAGTCGTTATAGTTAGTATCATTAAAATTATCGGTATTATGTTACGTATGTAAAAACAAATATATATATCGTAAAATTTCCCTCAAAATAAAGACAACTCTTAGAGTTCGAAAACTTCGAAGTGCTTAGTAGAAGTTGTGGTCTCTAAAAAGTTCTCTTTACTATCGAGAACGTTTATTCTTGCTAAAATCGATGCCCCGTAATTTTCGTACATCGTATTTTCGTATTGAGTAAGAAAGAGAGAAAGTATCGATTAGTAATCAAACCCCTTTAAATAATAAACATTGTTGATTAAATCAGTGATCAATCCATTACTTAATACATACGTACGTAATTTGATTTCGGTGATTTTGGCATCCCTGAGCGCGGAAATAAATCACGTGATCTTGTTACTTACTCTGATTGGCTAAATTCGATCACGAGACCTAACCGCAGTACCTACGAAGAGAAGAAAGGAGTTAAAGCATTAGTGAAAGTGCTAAGAAGACAATAGTTACTTAACGAGGAGTAATAGAATACTTACCTGACCCCGGAGATGTCTGCTCAAGCCTCCTTAACCTTAATTATTCGGACCAAGTCTTTCCACGCTTAATTGAAGCCTACCACTATTAGGGTTTGGTTTGAGTTGTATAATAATATTGGTATAGTTTTGAGTGTATTAGTGTAGAGTTGCTGTTATCTCTGCCAGGAACTTATTTCGAAGCAGCTTACACTTTTTCAACGTACATACGTACGTCTTTATATTACATCCTTCGTGCTTCAGAAAAAAAAAAATCTTATTTTTACCCAAGCGATTCCTTTTATAAGAATGAAAACTATTACATACAAATAAAGCAATAGATTTTATAAGGCAAAATGTAGTAATTGCTGCGCAAAGCATAAGCTATAGTATAAAGTAGTGTAAAATTAACTATTTTTAACTTAGAAGGTACGTAGATCATTATGCAAGGTTGAAATAATCTATTGATTTAAGAACTATTAAAAAATTTCATAACAACGGAAACTTTGAAAAGATAAGTTAATTTATTTGGATAAATGTTCTTATTAGTTTTTCTGATAAATATTTACTTATTTTTTGGCACACGACTAATTTTGTTTATTTCGCAGTAGTTTATTGCTAAACTAGAAAATAAATATGATAGCTTATCTTTATTATCTTTAGAGAATGTGTATTTCAATTATTTAATTAAAGATTTAGGGTTTAGTCTGGAAATTCTGCGTGTTTAAAAAAAATTCAGTGATGTAATGTGCTGTTTTTTTTTTAGCATATTCCATGAGATTCTGTGAGATTCTGTGATAATAAAGTTAGTTTTGCGTAATTCTGTGGCTGTTTAGTGTTAATTCTGTGATTTAATGAAATATATTCATTAAAAATACTTAACAGAAAGTTTTTGAAGCAAATTAATCCAAACTCTAATTTATATACAGTAAATGTGTATCTTTTAATTAGCCCCTTTATCCCATTTTTCCGAAATTTACTGCTTAATTCTGTGATATTTTTGCGGCGATTGTGTAATTTCTTCAGGATTTTGTGGTATTTTTGCGTATTCTGCCAATTTCTGTGGTTAGACTGTTTTTTAAGAAAAATTCTGCTGTTTCTATGATCACTGCAGATTATCGTTGCTGGTCTGGTGTTAGGATAAGAGTACGTTATAGGTAAAATGATCTTTTTGACATTTTTAATTCACGCCCTAAAATAGATTTAGATAACTGTTTTCCATTAACTATACATCACGTGATTGCATATACCTTAAATGATTTCCCATATCCGGGTATAACCCGGATATAACCGTTATCCTCTTACTTCAATAGGGTATAAAACCGGTTATTTGGTTTTATAAAAGGTTATAACCTTTAGGGTAAAAAGTTATCCGGGTACGATCTCTATGCAGCTGCAGCAGCTTGTGTAACCTTGTGTAACCTAGGTAATCTAAGGTGATACAAGTGTGGCTAGTGTGGCTTGTGGCTAGTGTGGCTAGTGTGGTACAAAAATTAGTTACACATTGTATAAAGTGTTGTATAATGGTTTAAAATTTGTGTAAAATATAAGAGACCAATAATTTTTTTGTAGAAAAATTAATACTGTTTAAGAAAAAATTAATTTACACAAAGGAAAATTAATTAAATCTAATTTTGGAAGTGATTTGAGGTTACACAGAAAATGAATTGAAGGAAAAAAGTGGGGGTAAGAGTAAAAAATTTTTGCAAGGAGTTTGTAAAAGAAGCAAAGAGTATTTTTGTTGTAATTTGGTCAATATTAGGTCAAAAACCTTTGTTTAGAGCTTGTTTTAATCAGACAGATGTGCTCTACAACTTTCTCTTAAGAACCCCAAGAAAGTTGTAAAGGCAGTTTTTGAGAAATAATCAAAAGTTTGGTTTGAAAAACCAAAATTAGTTTTTTATGTTTTTGTTATAAGTTTTTAAGCTAGAGACTTGAAACTTATAGGATATATGAAAACTGTGAGAGGAACAATTTTTTTTAAACAACAAAAGTATATTTCTTTAATAAATTATTGAGATATTAGCAATTTTATACTGCACGAATTTTATTTAAGTTTGTGTAAAGGATTTACAAAAAGAGTTTTTTTAGCTACATTCAATGTTAACTTTATAATATCTATCTTTTGCTAATTTTACTAAATAATATTGGTTACTAGAAAAATTAAAAATATCAAGGTCTAAACCAGCAAGCTTATACTGTTACTACTCTCTTTGGTAAAGCTTTATCCTTTTAATTATTAAATGAATAGCATTATATTCAAACTCTGTATCTTTTAAGATATTTCATAAAATCTATATTAGTATATCGATTTAGTTATTTTGCTTAGATACAAAATATATATATTTTAATTTTTATATCAGGATTTTATAAAGTTTATTATATCCATTTTCTGGTATTTATATAGATAATATGCATTGATTCATCTTTCGTAATTGCCTTGATATTCTTTTCTAACATATTCTATTTTATTTTATTAATTTCTATCTACCTTGTAAATATTCATTAAATTTACTTTTTACCTAATAAATATTACAAATATAAATTATGTCATTAAGCTTATTCAGTATAGCCTTTTGAGCTATTTGTTTTTCTGATCATTTAAAAATAGTGCTATCTTTTTTATTTTATTTTGTACTTTAAACTACTTGTTATCACTATTAATTTTATTTTTATTTTTTGCCAAGTATTTTTAATATACTATTAGTATAATAGAATCATAGCTTTAGAGTACACTATATTGATAGCATCTTGTTGTATATCATTACAATCAGTAAGGAATATGTGAGGTTGCCAATCTATATTTTGTCTTTTAATAGTCTCAAGCCAATATACTAATATGTATTTTGTTTTTTTCTAATATTAAATAGGTGATAAGTATTTTGTGTCTATCAATATTATTTCAAATAAGCAAGATAAATAGGTGTGTATTGTGCAATATCATTTCATAAGTATTATCAATACAGACTGTTTGTGTACTCTTTATCCTAGCAGCTTTCTCTAAAACTCTGTTTGAAAAATATACATGAATTCTAAGAATAAGCCTCAGCTTGGATTATTACATATATACAAGCTATCTTTTTTAAATAAAATAATCTATTCTTTAACAAATATGCTTTCGCTATACTCTTTATTTTTATTTTTTAAAAAAATCATGCCCTTTATTTTTTTACTAACAATATTGTATATATTAATATAGGAGATATATAAGTCTCATCTTTGCATTAATAGTAAAGTTTCTAAATTTTCTATATTATAAATTTGATTAATATGTTAATAAGACAATGATACAATTTGGGAGAGATTCATTCTATCTTTTGCTCTTGTATGAATTCATTCTTTTGTATATTCAGATATTTAAAAATAGTGTAGATCCTTAAAAGTACCAGGAATATACTTGTTATATAATATGTAATAGATAACATAAACACTATTATCCTCTATATTATAAAATTTTAGAATATATATATAAGATTTGTAGCCTGTTTTTTTATTATTTTTGAACTGGATAAAAATAGCTG